CGGGGGGGTGCCCGGCGCTGCGAGCCGGGTGAGGGTGGCTGCCGGGCAGGCGGGCGGCGGCGGCTCGGGCGCGGCCGGGATGCACCTTAGCGGGCGCCTCTCGTTGCAGCGCGCAGGCGGCCCGAGGCTTGGCGGCGGCGGCGGACACAGCGGCGGCGGCGGACACGGCGGCGGCGGCGGCGGCGCTGACACCTCCCACCATGGACAGCTTCGATTTAGCCCTGCTCCAGGAATGGGACCTCGAGTCGCTGTGGTGAGTCCTGGTGCTGGCCTCTCGGAGAGCCGCGGCGGCCCCGCCTGCCCTCACCTGGGCCGGGACACCCGGTGACCGGCCGCCGTGGGGGTGGGGTGGCTCGGGGACACCCGCCTCGCCGGCCGGCTCTTTCCAGCCTTGGCGGGCTGGATGCACGGCCGCCTTCCCGTGAATTTGTTGGTCTCTGGTCCCGTCCCCTCCCCTCCGTGCTGCCTGAGCTAGCTCAAGGGGCCGGTGGTCTGGCTGCCACAGGAGGAGTGCAGCGGTGGAGGGGGAAAGAACCGATATTTAGAATGTGTCACTGATGCCCGAGAGCCCACCCCTCATCCTGCAGTCCCTCTCAGCTCTCTTACTTCGGACTGTGCTCCCTTCCAGCACCCGGAGAGCCTCAGGCTCACCCCTGTGACCCCCTAGAGTTGATACCGCTACGAAGTGTCCAGAGAGGATGCTCTCCAGCCTTGCTCCCTGCCTGTTCCCTGCTTGGCGCCTGCATCCTTCCTCTGTCTGTCCTACCTCACTCTCACTCGAGATGGAAAAGTGAACACCCGGGGCAGGAGGCCAGTGTGTCTCGGTGCTCGAATTCCAGAGGCCTTGGCCCAGGGAGACTCATTTCCCGGAGGTTCACAGTTCCTTTGCACCCTTTCTTCACACATCCCCATGGCTGAACTCCTCACTCTTTTTGTCAAGCTCAAAGCTGGCAGCCTGGAATGCACTTGGGGTTCCAGTTCTCGCTGTTCTCGCATTAGGGAGAGCTTCTGTAGGTAAATCACAGGTAGATGCAATTTAATTCCAGTTGCAGTTGTCTGAAAAATCTCATTGGCTGCTTCAGCATCCCTCACATTACCCCCACCCCTTAAATGTTTCCAGCCAGCCCTATTCAGGTGGTAAAATTACTGCTTGTATATTCCTGGAGGAACTTGTGTTATGTTTAATATTTACGGGGATGAACATCTGCTGGAACAAGCATATTAACTGCTCTCTGTTCTGCCTCTGGTAATCGCTGATGGTAGAGCCGAGCGTTTCCCTTCTTTTTAATTCAGTAAAGAGTTCACATGTGTCTAAAACTGCAAGTGGTGTGCACATGAATATGCAACGCACAATTTTTAAAATAAACCGTTTTATGATTTATGGCTCGTACATCGATGGTATGTGGACATGTGGATCTCCGCAGTGACTTAGGCTCAAAGTGACTTTTATTTTCCTAAAGACAGGTGTAACAAAATAAACTAGACACAGAGCTCACGAATTATTGAGCAGTTTCTTATAAAAGCTCCGACGGTGACTACAGCTTGCTCTGCATAATGCTAGCGCCTATAAAACACACAAGGATGGGCTCCAATGTAATAAAACTTGTATATATTACACTGGCAACTTCAAAGAGCTAGTGTAGAGAGAATATGGAACATGTTATTACTCTATAAAAGTTGCTAATTACTGTGTTGCCGCTCCTGGGGTTATTTCAGCCTTTCATTTACAGATACCTATTATTTTACAGGTTTACCTTTTGAAATGTTGGTTTCTGGCACAAATTCAATAGCTTCCCAGATAACAACTGTATTCTTAAAAATGACTTTTGCTTTTTAAGATCTAGGCAGGCTTGTAGTCAAAGGGGAGAACTTATTTTTTTTTTGGACATATTTTTATGCTGCTTATCCACTTTATGGTTCAAATTGAACTCCTGTATGGTTTTTATAAGTTGTGTTTTGAGATTATCAGTGGTTATGTGAAGACCTTTTTGGCAAGGGCTCAAGCTGTGTCTTTAGTTCCTAGTAAATTAATTTGAATACTGTCAAAGAGTGCCTGCTGAATTGTCTTTATACCAGATTTATTTATTTATTTATTTATTTATTTATTTATTTATTTGATCAGATCTTTCAACATAGTCCAGGCTGTCCTGAAACTTGCTTTGTTGACTGGGCTGGCCTCAGACCACACAGATTTTGCCTCTGCTTCACTAGTGCAAGCTTGAAGACGTTGTACCACCACAGCTGGAAAGCATTTTTTAAAAAGCCGTTGTACACGCAATCAGATTTGTAAGCAATGCATAGTTTCTTGGCTTAAGAAATCATGTTAGATTTCTTGATTACAGTATAGTAGAACAGTTTGGCGTAAGAGAATGTTTCTTATTTTGTGAATGTAGAATTTACATTTACAAAAGGTTATCTTTAGGTAAAGTTAAAGATAAACCGAACTACTTGGGTTTGCATTTCAAATATGTCAGACATTCTCTTAGTTATGGACCAATTTTTGCATTACATTTCTAACTCAATTTTGGGATTTATTAAAGATTTTTATGTTTATAGTTTACTTTTAAGCTCATGAATGATCAAAATGTGTAGCCTCTCTTTCTCCCCCAGCCCCCCGTCTCTCTCTCCCCCCCTCCTCTTCTCCTCTGTTTCTCCATCTCTTGTTTATTTTTGAAAGAAGGTCTTGATGTGCAAGCCTCACACTCAAGGATCCTCCTGCCTCCGTCTACTGAGTTCTGGGGTAACAGGCATGTACCCTCATGCCTGGTATACCTGATTACTTTCTGTGTGTCAGATATTTTCACATCTGTTATCTTCCTGTTTGAATCTGATAACATCTTAAAAGTAAGTGATCGTACTCTCATTTTATAGACAAGAAAAATAGTTTTAAACTGTTAGGTAACTGTGCCAAGACGAAAACGACAGCAGATATTTTAAGTCTAATATTTATTAAGTTCTTGTCGGAGGCATGACCAGTGTATGTCCTATGTCATTTCTTTCTCAACAAGAAACTTACCACGTACGTACTGCTGTTGGTCTGATTTTTACAGAGAGGAAAATTGAGGATGGGTGGTCAGGTAGCTTGTTGGAGTTTACACAGTTCTAACTCGATGAAGAATTAGCTTCAAGGTTTGCTTTTCTGATATCAGGGCTATGCATTTTCTAGAGCCCTGCAGATGTCTTCAGGCTGATGAAGAGTGGCTTTACAGGAATTACCAAGCAAGACCCTGACACCTGCAAGTTATGGTTGTGTCAAAATATTAAAAGAGAAGGTCAGAACCTTAAAAGGTATTGATTTAAAAAAAAAATCTGAAAACCAGCCTCCATAAGTTAGGAGTGGTGCCTGTTAATTAACTTATGAAAGAGGATATAAATTTTAAATAAAGACCACATCTGTTCTTCCATCATAGAAGAAAAAAAACCACCCATCTTTGAAGAGAGGAGGTGCAGATTAATAGCCACAGACTCTTATTTTGATAACTGAACAGCTTTTTCTAATTGGCAGACATCGTCGAATCCTGATCAAACAAATTGCACTTTGTTAGTTTTGACTGTGGCTTTGAACCTTAAGTGTGCTTCTTGTACATACAGGAGAATGAGTCTCACGTGACTACAGACAGAATGTGAAACAAAAGTAGGATTAATGTGAGATAATCAATTGATAGCAGGCCCTGGTTCTGTCTCCTCCCATACCGTCACCCTCATTCTGAAGCACCCATGCCTGTTTTTCAGGGTCTGTCTTTCAGGCAGGAACATCAGATGCCTCTTTCAGCTGTCCCTTAAAATGGAGATGGATGCCCCTAAGAAACATTGTTTCCCTCCTTCCCATTTCCACTGTGAAGGTCAGAGATGCAGGGAAGGGGCTCATCCTGCACATGACTGCAGCTTCTGCAGACCTGAGTCCTGAGCAGAGACAGTTATCCCAGGAAACAATGTCTCCCTTCTGTTCTCTTCTGCCCTTTCTCTGGGGGTTCACTCATTTTGGCTCAGCTGCTACACACATCAGGGTCTCTAAAGTGATGGTCACCCCTCCTGACAGACTGGATGTTGCTTTTGTTTATTTGATTCATGTATCTTTATTGGTCGTCTCTAAAGCAGAAGGCCTTGTGGTGGCTGCTGTAGGGGATGAAGAGCTGGGTGAGACAGGGGTTGTGTGTTCCTTGTCTCGTTTTAGAGTTGGATAAGAATGTAAGTGCAAAATGAAATTTTCTGCTCTAGAGAGTTAAAAAAGACTACTCCCATGCTTGGGACTAGGGTGGGTGGTAGGCAGGCAGTTTTTCTTAATTATTATTATTGTATTTTTTTTACTTATTTTTAAAAAAGCTTCCATAGAATAGGTGGCCTTTGAATTAAGCTTTGGGAGATGAACCAGCTTTTACAGATGGTAGAGTAAGATGGCGTAGGAGCATGGTGAACAAAGGCTTTCGGGTTTTTGTGGGTTTTGTTTGTTTTGGTATCTCTAGGGGTGCTCTTTATTAACCGTGGTGGGATTACCTGTACTGTGTATTTTAAACACACACAGCCTGGTCATCATGAGATGGTTTGTCAAATGAGAAAAGTTTTCCAAAACCAACTTACATTTACTCTTCTCTAAATATGAGCAGCTTTTTATTCCTAGGGAGAAAGTCAATCAAGATGGAATCATAAGTATTAATAAGATCTTGCTTATTACTCTCTCTGAACCTCACCCCCACAGACTTTACATAAGCAAGAGTTTCTATATTTCTGTTCACACAGGCATTTTACATCCCTCAGGTCCAACCCTTTGGAATTGTAACCCACGGGGCAAGAGAGACGGCTCAGCAGTTAAGAGTATTTATTGCTTTTCCAATTGACATGAGTTCGTTTCTCAGCACCCACAGTAGGCAGCTTCTATCCACTTATAATTCCACCTCTAGAGGAATCCAATCCTCTCTTCTGGTCTCCGTGGGCATTTTCAGCATACATTCACATGGACATATCCACAGGGGAAAAAAAATTTCTAAAGGGAAAGAGAATTGTAACACATGAATGTTTCACATTGTAACGCATGGATGTTTCATATCCACCAATGTTTATATGGTAGGCATTACTATTGACAGGCACCACTGGCTTAAATGGTTTGGACTGAAACTCTCAGTTGACACACCTTTAACACTGCAACCCAGTATTCCTGTGAGCATAGATATACATGACTGAAATATGAGTGTCAGGTGATACCTGGTGTGATGTACGTGATGCATTCTGGTATCTTCTATATTAGATCTCATATCT